CGCAGTGTCCATTAATACACAAATTACAGGCAGAGATCCTTTCATTCGAGGCGGATCAAGTCTAAGCGGAGCGCGCGCGGATAGCTTCACCTTATTATTTCATTCGTCTCATTAAGAAATCCGCTTCCGTTGACGCGCGCCGCTCCGGTAGAAAGTGAGAATTAACCGGCGCGCGAATAAATAAGTGAACCCGGGGGAGAAAAGAAGCAGAAAGAAAAAGGAAGAGGAAGCGGAGGAGAGAAAACGCGACGTTATTTCTGGAATAGGAAAACACCAGCGTCCGCCTTGCTCCTCCCGGTCGAGCATCAGAAATATCGACGCGAGCTCCACTTACTTACTCGCGTCTGCCAGCGCGAGCCGCCGAAACGATTTGTCGAAAGATCGCTGCGCGCGTGTCTATGTCTGCGTCGCCCGTTCGCAATATTTCGTAGAAACTCTGCTTTCCCGGCAAACAAGCGATTTATAAGACTGGAATTCATACGAGCACGTTCGAGTACAAACTGATGTTACGAAAAGGGGATGAATGTGCGTTAACAATGACCGACCTAGGTCAAGTAGCATATTTGTATTTTAAGAGAAACAGTACAATATATATAACAAACACGATATTTGTAATATGAAATTGTATATTGTATGCAGAATATACAGTATTCGCAAAAAAATACAATGGAATGTAATACAACATGATAAAATTAAATACAATAAATGTGATACGTTGCTTTACAATAATGTGCTACATTACAATATGTACGTATGATAAAATTGAATTAAATACAAAATACATTTATTTACAATTAATACATCGTATTATAAAATATAATTCACGATAATTGCTGAATATTGAAAATGAAAGTGTCCCAAGACGTTTGTACATTTGAACGCTCGACGTAGAAAACCTTTTGTGTCATTGCGTGTGTTGTATTTAAACATCTTTGAAATGTTTTATTTAGCAAAGAAAGTAGGAAAGCTTTATAGCACACTTATTTATACACTTTCCGAGAAATCTTGAAATTTTAAATTTCAGAAGATACAGCGTTTCATTTCTGACGAAGAAATTACAAGTTGGTATTCATTTTGTGGTTCTAGTTAACAGATTCGAGCAACAAATAAAACATGATTCGACTAAATGTTACTTTCTACATGAATTTTTCATTCAATTTGTTAGTAGCTACTTTATCATTGAGAACCTAAAATACAAGATTAAAAACAAAAACATAGTCATTCGTAATCTAAACGTGCTAAGAGTTGACAGAATATTAATATAACGAGTGATCGACTATCGTGATTCTAAATTCTATCTTGTAACAATACGCAGAAAATCGGAGATCATTGAGATCCAAATATTTAACAATGTTCGTATAAATGGTACTTCACAGTTGACCGTAACGTGATGCTGTCGTGAAAAACAATCACAGTATCACAGTTGATAACATTCGTGGACAAGTTTCTCGATAATTATTAATATCTCGTTACAAGTTAGCGGTTCAATGCGATCGAGTTATCAATGCGTTCCGCGAAGCAAATAGCACGACACTCCTTGCAGAGTGAAACGAACGTGCGATAACAATGGCAAATGACGAAAGAAAAACGGGGTGGAAAAAGGGAACGGTGATTGAACCGAAGACGCGAAACCACCACTTGACGCCTATTTACGGCAATTAACCCGAACCACGTTGACGAACTTGAACAACCTGGTTGATTGGATGCGCAGCAGACGTCCGACCATCACTCTCGCCGGTTTTCTACCCCACGGGGGGGGGGAGGGGGAGGGAAATTTATTCGCCCGACCTGCCTCTTCGGCGCGAATTCACTCGAGGGAGCACGAACTCTCTGAACACAGGCCCATCTGACTGATCGATGCCGGTGATTTCGTACCCCTTTCGAAAGCCCTTCGCTCTTCTCGATACAGTCACACTTTGCGCGAATTTTCGAAACTAGAAGAAACTAAAAGGTCAAGATAACTTTGTTCCTGTTCAATTCTAGCTTGCTGTCTGTCAATTCACGCGGATATCTGGTCTTACGTGTTTTACAGAAATGAGAGAGAATTAATTCGAATAGGCTGAACTATCGTTTCTGTCTGATATGAACGCAGTGATTGAATGAAACATTTGAAATACATGGAGATCAAGAAATGCTCGAAGCTTAATTACGACGATTTGTTTTATATTATACAAAATTTTCACAAGATTCGATACCTCTTACCACGGGGGATCTTTAAAAAGATCGTGTAGACGATAGTTTCTAAAAATAATGATTATCAGACTGTCTATTTTGAAGTACATTAATACGCAATTTTCAAGCTATTTCTTTCGTTTCTGATCTTGTATAAGTGTATAAGGTCATTGAATGATCATTGAACATCGTTTCATTTTCGAATTCATTTTATATATCTGTTTTCATATAATGTGAAGAAAAGATGTAGCATTCGAAAACGAATTGAAAGTCTTAAACCTTTAATTCTGAAAAAAAAAAAAAAAAAAACAGTATGACTAGAGAAAATTTCTATGTATCATTACATTGCGTTTAAAAAAAAACAATACAACTTTGTCTTCTTTCATTTTTGCATAACATCTACCGTTTACGAGAAAAACAAAACGAAAAAAAATGCCATGAATGTACATGTAATATAATAATTTAAAGTTTAGTATCTCTTGAAACGTGCTGTACAGTGTGTTTTATAATTTAGAGTTCAATTATATCGTAATTAGTTTTCACAACAGTGTACATATATATTCAGATATATCTTGATAACACTTATTGTTACGAAAACTATTATATATATAATATATAAATTATAATATGTATAATATATATAGCATAACATATATATATATATAT